ATATATATATATATATATATATATATATATATATATATATATATATATATATATATATATATATATATATATATATATATATATATATATATATATATATATATATATATATATATATATATATATATATATATATATATATATATATATATATATATATATATATATATATATATATATATATATATATATATATATATATATATATATATATATATATATATATATATATATATATATATATATATATATATATATATATATATATATATATATATATATATATATATATATATATATATATATATATATATATATATATATATATATATATATATATATATACCAAAATGTTTTATATGCCAAAAAGACTTATTAAATTAAATAATAATAATAACCTTATGTATTTTGTAAATGATGCAATGGCATAAAGAAATTATAAATAATCTTACCCATTTCTGCACATTTTTTTCAGGGAAAGTAGCATGAGGTAACATCACAGCAAAAGTGATCTCATCTGTCAAAATTAAAATGTAAATTCATGTGATTAAAGGTGTAACACTTTTAAAACAACATCACAAACACAGGAAGTCTCTACTGACACAGTGTACAGAAATAATAATACAAGTAAAACTTACAAACACAAAGAGCTCTCACCAATGCTATACAGATAATTGGCTAGTCTACTGTTTTTGATTTCGGAAATTATAGTAACCTCTATTTATGGCCATCAAGCAGTGGTGGAAAGAGTACGGAAAAATAATACTCTAGTAAAAGTACCATTATCTGCCTAAAAATGTAGTGCAGGTAGAGTAAACGTATCTGTTGTAAATATTACTCAAAATATGAGTAAAAAGTAGCCATTTAAAAAGTACTCATGAGTAGTGAGTATTACGCTGTGAAAAGATGATGCATTTACATTTCATTTGTGAATGTGTGTGTGTAAACGTAACATTCTGTAGTGCATTTAGTTATTGCCCAGCAGGCACACAACAACATGAAACGTTAATATTAGGTCCGATTACGACGTCAAAAGACGTTGATATTTGATTGATTTTAGGTTGTGTTAGAAAGTGACCATAATCCAACGTCGAGCCAACATCTTAAACCAACGTCATGTTGTTAAATACTGACATTTATTCATGAGGTATGGCAACCAAAATTCAACATCTGATAGAAGACATAGTGATAACATCATTAGACATTGATATTTGGTTGATTTTAGGTTGGACATTGGACATTGACATTAGCCTGACATTTACAAACAAAATGCAACATCTCTACGACATTGGGGTACAACATCAATCTGATGTCATGTTGACATCTTGTGCCTGCTGGGTGTTTAAGGCCATTTCGGTCTTTATACAGTAAACATCCATCATCTTCTCATCAGTGACCTGCATCTAAACCAGGGGCGGCCAATCCTGTTCCTGGAGAGCCACCCCTGATCTAAACATTCTGGGTCATTGCGCGTAAACATTTTGGACATCTTCTTGGACACTTTTAATGCTTCCAAACAGTTTGCTGCAATAAATTGCCCATCTCTTAAGGCTGTTCAGTATGATGCGATTTACCTTCTAGGTGTGTAATAAAGTAGTGGAGTAAAAGTACCGATACAACACTAAAAATGTACTCAAGGGAAAGTAAAAGTACACATTTTTATAACGACTCACTAAATTAAATTCCAGAGAATAAATACTGTAGTTTGAGTATTTTTAATTTCTTACTTAGCAAAACTGATATCAACTGACTAAACATTTAGAGTATATATTTTAAAATGTATACTGTTTAATTGCTGTGATGCTCATTATAAATCAAGTGGTTAAAACTTGCCACCTTCATTGGTTTTTCTGTGTTTCCTGCAGATGCAAAAGATCGCGACTGCAACAACAAGCAAAAGTGCTTCAGCAGCTGCGATAAACACTGTCAGAGAGACTGGAGGATCTGAAGGAGAGTGAAGAAGTAAGTGAACTGATCTACAGCATAAGACAATCTCTTGTTAAATTGGCATTACCATTGGCAATGTTGTACCTTGACACGGCTGACAGAGTGTGTTGATGTCCAGATGTGTGGTGTGGTTGCTGATGGTGTTGTTGATCACACAGCTGTAGGTGTTGTTATCCTGATATTCCACCTCCAGAGGTAGAGAGAGACTGATGCTGAGATCAGACACACTGATGCTGGACAATACACTGTTTCCTTTGTACCAGGAGAGACTCACAGCACTCACATTTACTACTGAACACAGCACTGAACAATACTGCACTGATGAAGAGGACGATGAAGAACATTGAGAAGAGTTGAAGATGAGGACAGGAACAGGCAGATAAGCTGGAAAACACCAGATTTTAGTGATGTTGAATGAGCATAAATAGATCATGTTGGATTTTTAAAAAGTTTGACAGATGAGCTCTTCTCACGATAGACTGAAACATTGAATGTTTTTGGTGTCAGTTTTACTTCACCCATGTCTAGTTTATAATCTCCAGCATGTTCAGTTGTGATGTTTGTGATGATCAGAGATCCAGTTTGTCTGTCCAGCTTCAGTCTGTCTCTGAATCTCCCATTAACAACAATGAATTTGGAGACAGTTTGGTTTGTAATTGTGATTTTAGCTATCAGAGTATTTTTGGCTCCATATGTCAACAGTATTTCTTCAGCCTCTTGAATGTGAGTAACACCAGAGTTTAGAGTGACTGAATCTCCCTCCATCACTGAAACAGATTCATCAAACACACCTGGAGAACATCAAGAGGTTTTACACAAATTAAGACTCCGACTGGTTTATAATATTATACCTCCGCTGTAGATTTTGTAATTTACATGTGAACTAAAGAACAATTACAACAACCACAGAAACACAGTTAAGTGACAACCTCGTGTTTAAATTGTGAGTTTAATTGTACTGGTTATCTTCAGTATTTATTTAAAATAAAAGACACTAAAATGAGTAGAAAAACTGACTAAAAACTTCTAGCAGATCAATGGTTTTGGCGTTCAAAGCCTCCACATACTGGTCATAACCAGACACATTTATAAGTTATTAGTGGATCACACAACTATTCACAGCAGTAGATGAAAATTCACCTGAGCTCATGAATGGAAAAAAGAAATGCTATAATAACTTACCAGCGCAACACCTCCAGCACAAACAATACAAAACAAACATCTGAAACATGTTCTTTTACAGTTCTGCTTCACTTAAAGACCTTCCGCTAAAAACACTGAAGATGGTGTCTGTGTGTGAGAGAGAGAGAATCCTCCCACAACCGTTTGACCCTCCTGCTTGTTATGATATAGTGTCCTATAGACTTTCTGGGCGTTATCCAGTAAAGTTTGAACAGATGTTGAACAGAAACGAACGACATCTTTTTTATGGATTATAATCTACATTTATTCTTCAGGAAAAGCATGTGAAAAAATGAAGTTTCTCACTATATTCACTTTTCACTGTTGCCTACTCGACTATGGTGAGACGTTTAGACCTAGTTATTGTTTCTCTTCCGGTTTTCAGAATAAGGAAGGGATGCTGTTTGTTTTGAATCGTTTTATAGGTTGTCCGATGTGTTTATCCGTTATTTGCTTGCGGCATGTGTTTTGCACGATCGTGAGACGTTTGTTTGCTTCCACTCTTCTGGTCAGGGTTTAAAAAAATTGCTAACATGATGTCCGTTATTTATGCAGTGTGTTAGAAACAGCTGATCACGGCGTAAATGTAAAACGGCGATGTTGAATAAAACCTCACCTAAAGTTGAAGTAGACGTTTAAGATCAATATATTTAAAAAAAATTACCTTTAAGTGTATTGCAAGACACTTTTTTATTAAATTAAAATAACACTAGACTAAAAACAGTGGTTTAGGGGAATCCTTGCGGTAAAAAAAATATCTATAAAGTGTTATGTTATTTACAACATGAAATCTTACGTGTTACTGTTTTCAGTTTTTGCGCTGGATATTTCAGAGTTCTTGTACTGTGTCGTTTCAGCGTTTTGCTTGTTTTAACTGTAAAACAAACTTTACTTTGCATGTTTAAACTTCAAAATGACTTTAGGTGTGTTTGACTTGATGCTCCAGATACGTCGCCGCCTTAGAATAAGGTTCTATCTGCGTTCTGAATGATTTTAAGATATTGAGCTTCAATGTTTTTCCATTCCATATAGCAAAGAATATGTGTATAAAAGTTCTCTTTCATTCATTAACATGACAGAGACCCGAAAGGTACTCGAAATGTAAATTATTAAAGTTCTCTTACATTTGCAAATTGGAGTAAAAAAACATGGTAAATTCAGATAGAACCTTCTAATTCTAAAAAGTAATTTCCCACTTGAATTTTTTGGTGTTGTAACAATTTATTTATGTTTGAGAAAGTTACATTTGTGCATTCTATAACATTTATTTAATGTTTTAGGATGAATATTTTTACTTGTTCAAATTTAACAAACAGACTGTGCTAAATATTTTATCCAGTGCAGATGTTAAAATATGTAATAAATATGGTCATAATTATTAAACTTTATGCTTTATATGAAATATTGAATTATATTTATGGAATTTAATGCTATATTTATTGAATTATATGCCCCATTATTTAAATAAATTATTTACCCTTCAAGGCTTAATATTAAATTTAATGACTTTAAAACAAAACAGAAAATGAGTTTAATAAACACTGAAAAGTGTTTCACTGACTATATATACACAAATAAAAAGATTTCGCATTTAACATATACATTTTTTTAATATTCGTTTTTTATTTTTATTTTTTTCAACAGTAAAATTTAACATTTAATCTCAATGTCAAAAAATGCTTCTAAATCATCACATTTACACACATCTCAATTTGTGTGATGCGGCATTATTTAGCCGACTCTGATTTTGTATGATTTTTGTGATTCTTGTCAATGGAGCAGTCCAGCATAATGACAAAGAAAGCTGATCCTGGTTGGTCCTCGTGTGTGCATTAAAATGCTGATTGGCTCACAGAAAGAACCTTATAGAGTCAAGCTCGAGTTCAACTTTGTAGATGAAACCTTTTTTGTTTTTTAAATAAAGTCTTAATGTAAACAACATCCCATAATGTAAATAAGCTTTCATTTAATAAGAATATGTCAACAACTCAATTTTGACAAAAATGTCAGATAGAACCTTCTAATTCTAAGGCGACGATGTGTCTTCTAACTTGAGTGTGCGCCGTTTAGTAATTTTGGCCCACTTGAGACTCATCATGTGTTCAAGCTCCCTTACGGCAACACAGCAGATGCACAAATAATGATCACGTGTGTTTCGTTTTGCTCACAAATTGTGTTTTTATAACAGCAAAATCGTATTGAATCATAATGCTATATTGTGTCGTGTTTATCAAAATAAATATGGATACATCGACTCAATTTATGCACTTATGGCACTGACTTTATAAAGGGCTAGTTCACCCAAAACTGACATTTGTCAATATATATTCTGTGTTTGTTTACTTGTCACAAGCCTGTTTGAGTTTCTCTCTGCTGAACACAAAATAAGTTAATCTGAGAGTTGTCTAAAACCTACAACCATTGACTTCTGTAGTTTTTCTTTTTCTTATTTCTTTTGTTTTTAAGTCCAAATTTACAGATTTTCAGTTTTCTTCAAAATATCTTGTTTTGTGTTTAACAGAAGAAAGAAACTCATAAGGATTTGGAACCCCTTAAGGGTGATAGAATTTTCATTTGTTTTCCTTTCCTCATCCTTCCAGCTGTAAATTAAGTCCTAAAGTTACTTATTTGACAAAAAAAAAAAATGCATTTAATCTATGAGAAAGTACACAGCACTTGTTTGTATGCACATTTTGAAAGACTGCATAAAAAAACTTAATGTAAATACCATGAGGCACACAACGGAGTAGCATAAACATTTTATCCATTCTGAAACAAAGTGCATCGTCTACAAAGGACATATTTACCGAATAAACTCCAGTATGTGTATCAAAAAAGTCATGTGAGTTGGTTTTGATGGATTGAAGAGAGTTATGTGTTGCCATTAATAGACAAACCAGCAGGCCAACCACATTGTAAAAAAAAAAATCTAAAATGTTTTGGCCATTCAAGGTCCGTCATCAAAGTAATAAGATATTATTACCTCTGTCTTGAGCATTTTATGCCCCTTAAAGCACCAAAGTTGAACACACCTACAGTCATAGTTTTTTTGTGCTGCTATGTTCCTGCTTCTACTTTTCTTTGCCTCACCTCCTCATTTGTTCTTTTCTGCTCTGTTGATTGTGCTCACCTGTTTCTCTGTTTGCTCTGTCTGAGATGTCAAGGAAAACATTGACGCGTAAGTAAATTTAAATTTAGTAATACTGGTATATCTAGGTATGTATGTTTAAAAAATATGTTCTCTTCACTTTTTATAATACTCATTGGTAAATGAAATTTTCTATACATTTGCAGTTTTCAAACATATCAGAACGCATGGGCATTTGGGGGAAGTCTGTGTATCCTTTTCCAGTCTTAATCTTTAATTTTTTTTTAAATCTTATTATATCAGTCATTTAAATGTTGGCTAATGTATTGCAGTTATTAGAATGAATGTGTATTGCACCCTGTCTGTCTTTTTTAACTATTAATTGTTCGTGGTGTTATGTTTAATGTGTTCCAGCAGTCTTTAGATTTCGGCCTGACTTGTCATCAACTCTCTTCTGCACTGCTGTTCTGGTCTTTCCCGTTTTTGCACTTGTTCTTCACCTTGTCTTGTTGCATCTGTCTCCAGCCCTTGCCGTTAGCATGTCCAACTCTTCCATACCCAAGGTGGGACTCTCACTTATGGCCGCGACAGACCAAGCCGACGCCAAACAAATAAAAAAAAAACAAAACCCAACTGTGTTGCCGCCTCGCGTTGGATCGTGTCTGGACCAAAAAGCTGCACGTGAACACACCGAAGATACGAAAGCCGAGTGAAACGAGAGTCATGTTGTGCATAAGAGGACATGTCTTTTTGCTCCGCAGGCGGCAGTATCTGTTTTCTCATTATGCAAAGAGAAACCAAACTTCCGGCGCACAGATGAAGCGCAAGCAAAGCAGCATTTAGTACCATTTAGTGTCAGTCACGCTGGAGGGATTCACTTGTGAAAATATGTGCGGTAATCCAATAATGCATATCATTTGCAAATATTTGAGAAATGTAAAGAAATCACAGCTGACCTTGTTTTGATTTTTCTTGGCTTCAATTGTTTACTTGCTACGTCACTTCACTATGTCACACTCGTGCTCTGATTCATTGCAGAAAAACCAATCAGAGCGCTTGCTTCAACCGACGACTGACACTGAGGAAATTGACTAAGCACTGTTCGAAATCACCTTCTAATTGAGTAGGTACTTCATTTGAATTTGAATTTACTACACGGTCATTAGATAAGTATGTTGTATGTAGTATGAATGGAATTCGAACATACTACATCTGCCGTTTGTCATTATCACATGACCCACTCGTGTCAGTTGCATCGCTTTACTCCCATTCGTGAATTGTCTCACAAGGCAACATGTAATATCCATCAGATGCACACTTCCTGGAGGGCCGAAGCCCTGCACAGTTTAGTTCCAACCCTGCTTCAACACACTTACCTGTAGGTTTCAAACAAGCTTGAAGGACTCAATTAGTTTGATCAAGTGTGTTTAATTAGGGTTGGAACTAAACTGTGCAGAGCTGCGGCCATTTTGGCACTGAGTTTGACACCTGTGTAGTAGATGATCTGGGTACTTCTCGCATACTGTTTTTCCAAAACTATGAATTCAGACATACTACTTGGCTCGCATACTGTTTTGAGCATACCATATAGTACGCTAAGTATGGAACATATGATCATATTATGGAAGTTTGCGATTTTGGATGCAGCCTGATTCTCTATGCTGAATCAAGCCAACAATCACTGACAGTAACCCAATGAGAGGCGACGTGTGGAACACAGCAAAACAACTAGCCTGATCTATAGACCGATGAAGCCCAATGGCTGGCCGTCAGCTTGGTGTGTCCTATCCTTTACACCTTTGCCTGTCTCTTTTAACTGTCACCTAGCATCTCTCCTGTCATTGCATTATCTAATTCTACAAAGACTATTTTATGCTGCCTGTGTACATTCTCTGACAAAATAACCTAAAAAGCACAGGTGTTTACAGTGTATTCACAAGACAAAGAAACTAATTTGCAATTTGTTTGCCATTTGGGAAATGTAAATATGTTTATCTTTGATCTTTACACACACACACTATTCTGAAATTTCAATAAAAGTCACTTTGTTAAACTGCACAGCTAAATCCAACCAAATGTTTACTAAGAAGAATTTATGAATCTTCGATGCAGTCTACCAACTTATGTACCAGTGTATACAGATTATTCGAAATCAGATGGACGAGTATCTGCTGTAGCAGTAGTTGTTTCAGAGTGTTTTAGAAAGAGATTCTCGGACAAAGTTCGATATTCACAGCTGAAGCTTGTGCACTGTTTTTAGCTCTGGAACAAATAAAAAAAGAACAGCAATGCACAGATTCTATGTCCTGCTTACAAGCACTCCAATCTATGAAAATCAATCATCCTATGATTTTTAACATAATAGAAAAAGCGGACCTTTTAAAGACTAAAGACTTTGATATTATTTTCTGCTGGATCAGGCCCGGATTGGCTAATCGGGAGGACCGGGAGAATTCCCCGGTGGGCCGGTCCGTTTTTTGGCCGCGAGGGCCGGTGTCCCTAGCTCCAGAATCTGTTGCTCTCAGCAGTCACACTTTTTAAATTTATTTACTTACTTGACCACAGCCTTTTTATTCATTATTTTTTTGCAACTCTTCTCTTTTCATCTATTTTAATGATGATAAAACTTAGTTGTGTCTCCTCACTGTACACAGCTGTTGTGGTCCAGCGGTTAGCACGTTAGGATAAGACTCCGCGGATCCGGGTTCGATCCTCGTTAGAGTAATTTATTGTTTTCATTTTTATTGTTAAGACATATAATACTGTTAGGGTTGTTGAACATTTGAAGTTCTAAAGCAGCTGTTTTCTCAAAAAAAGACGTGATAGTGTAATTAGCAACTAAATTGGAAATGACCTTATTTTAATGTAGTCAGTCGTGAACTGAGGTGGGCCGGTCTGAGGCTTGAAACTCCAGAGCTGAAAAGGAGTCCCACTCCGGCCCTGTGCTGGATATATGGGATTTATTGGAAACGAACGTGCAGATAAAGCAGCTAAGGAAACCCTACAGTTGAAGATAATAATGTAAAATCCCTGTGTCTGATGTTAAACCTGTTTTAAATCTGTAAGTTAACGAGAAATGGCAAATGGAATGGGTTGAATATAAGAATAACAAATTATATTGAGTGAATCCAGTTGTAAATGAAAGAAATAATTACAGTTTTGAAAATAGACATGGCCAGGTTGTACATACGAGATGTAGAATCTGACACTCAAGACTAAAGCCTGGTTTGTACTTCTGCGTCAAGTGACCGACGTAACCCACGGCGCATGCAACGTGCGTAGCTGTGCATTTATACTTCTGCGCGCTGTCTCTGTTGGTCTGCATTAACACTTCCGAAACGCTAGTTGGCAGTGAGGTGTTAATGTGTCTCTGTGTCGACTTTCTTCGCTGGTATTTTGTTTGTTTTGAACGCTTCCTGAATGTACAAGTGGCTCAAACTCACTCGTTTTGAGGCAGTAACCGGCTCTCGCGGCTCTCGGTGCCGCCCAGACTTGTCAGCGCTACCAAGCCAACCAATCACAGAGCTTGCACTACGCTTCGGTGGGACGTGTAGTTAAATTTTTTGAGAGGTGCAAGTCAGCGACGCCGACGGCCACAGTGTAGGGCTATGCGTCAACGCGCAGGCTGTGGCTTGGTATACGCGTGCGCTTGACGCAGAAGAATAAATGAGCCTTTACACACGCATATTTATTGAAAGGGAAAGAAGAACCTATTTGTGACTTGTGTAAGAATATTTTGACGATAAAGCATTTTAATATAATGTGTATTTTTAAACAATATTAGAGAACGTTTTTATTCGGGAAATATTTTAAGGAAAGTGTTTGAATTGAAGCCTTCAGGAGCGCTTATAGAATAATACTTTAATCAAACTAAAAGATTGTATATGACTCTTTTTACTTGTTGCTACGTGTATGTGTTTTCTTTTTACAATATATGTTTGTTAAGAAACTGATACGATTATATATTGTATATTTAGTATATGTTTTTGTTATGAATACAGCCAATGCTGCTAGTTTGGCATTAAAACCTAAATAAATAAGCTGCACAGCTGAATTTTCAACATCAAAAGTAAACAAAGCAGAAATAAATGTCCCATAATTCAAAAAACAGACTGTTATTTTTACTGTAGAAATAACAATAGTTGCTTCCAGTCCTCAGTTCCACTCGAGGTCTCTGTGACCTCTGACCTAGTTTGGGGGCTCCTGAGAAAGTTACACGGAGACAGGCAAATGCACTGAACATTCTTACATAAAGCAGTGTGTTTAACTTATTCATTTGTTAAAATTAATTCAAAGTTAAATACTCATTTAAATAATAATTTAATAAAGATGATAGGAAACAGGACATGCGAAAAGGATAAATATTGATCCATGATGAGACTGATTTGAAGGTATAAATCCGAATCCTTTACTACAGTCTGTAGATTTGTGTGAGTTGCACTGTTCACCATTCGTTGTATGGCATATAATTGTCACAAATGAAATGTTTGCCATTTGTGCAGTGCTAACAGCATGTAATATATAATATGGCACATGTGGTTACCTAAACAACAACACCCTTATTCTGTTTGAATGTTTAGACCCCATGGCTGTTTTTGTTTTGAGGATCAGTGACTGTTAGCATCTTTTGTAGTTGTGCTGAGTCCATTAGTGTGGAAGTGTAGGGCTGCACTAGAAAGACTGCAATCTAATGAAATTATATACACAATATATGTCATTCACTTTATAGTGCTTCATTATAACTCTGTTTGAAATCGCAAACTATTTTTGTGTACGTTTGCCATGGTGTCAACATGACCTATCAGTGTCATTTCACTGCCGTCAGTTTTGCATTTAAAGGGCCATGAAACCCCCTTGTTTCAGGAGGGTGTATTCACACCTCTACTTTGGAAAAAGTCAGAAAAGTGGGCGTGTCCAGCTCTGTTTAGGGGGGAGTGTCGGAGGAACTAAAGTGGGATGGTGTGGGAGTGTCTATTTGGGCACGCGCGAGCTTCAGAGTCAAAACACACACACACACACACACACACACACACACACGGGAGAAAGTGATGGTGTTAAACCTACATGGACATCTGTAGTCGAATTATTTGCCAAATTATTAAATGGTGGACTTTAACTGCAGTTTGGCTCTTTTAATTAGGGAATTCATTCATGTCCCTCGCGACAAACGAGATATTTGACTTGAGGAACTGCTCTAGGCGTGTATTTTTCATGCAATGTTTGATACCGCACGGCGAATGAGAAAAAAAAAAGCTTCATCATTTCCCGGAAGCCTAGATGCACACGGCAGGTAGCGTCAGAAAGCCGCGTGTGTTATTCCGGTCACAAAATGCGGCGAAAATTCTACACGAGGTTAAAGTTTGGTTGTGGTGCTAACATGTTTACACTCGGTGCAATAGTTAACTTAGTCCGATACGAACAAACGGAATAAACAAGAGCACTGGTCGCTCACTTACCAAATCTGTAGAGACAGGACAATCACCAGCAACTAGAGCCGCGTCTTTATTAAGAGAAGACTACAAGCGAATCGAGATCTCAGCGATTGCAGATGAGAACAGCTCTCAGGTAAACAATGTTCCTCCTTAGACACGTAAGTTATTGTTGTCGAGAGTCGCGTACACGGTTAATCCACACGTAACTCCAGCTGAGCTCTCACAGAGCACTGTGACACTAATGAATATTAATGAAGTTGCACAATAGAGCGCGCTGATTGGTTTGAACCAAGCTTTACTCGTGCATTAATGCATCACACTGTAAGACGTAATAAGACACACTCTGGCACAGACGTCCAGTCTGCACGCTGGAATACAACGCTATTATCTCATGGTCGTGACGCAGCTTCAAAAATTCGTTTCAAACAGGAAGTACGAATTTGCTTGAAATAACGCAAAAACAACCAATTTACACTTTTTAGTGAAATTTAGGTGTCCTAATAGTGTTTTTAGCAGTGTGGGACACATATACGACTGTCAACAGCTCAAAAAATGTGTTTTGGTGTTTTGTGACCCTTTAAAAAAACGAATTTAAAAACTAATTTGCAAGCAACATTTAATTTATTATTTATTAACATTTACTTACTACATTTCCTTTTTGAACATTCAAAGCACAGGTATGATAGATGTGATGCATTCAAGATTTTAATAGTTTTTGCATATTCAAATAATAAAGGACATTACTGTGGGGGGTTGGCAGTGTAAAAACGTACATATCATAAAGGTGACCTGTAAGTGTCTTGTGAGTTGCTAGTGTCCAGCATAGCCAGCACTGCACCCTCTTTGATCTTGTGATTTAAAACCACCTGTTTAAAGCTAAAAAAAAAAAAAAACAAGTATCGTACTGATGAAAATTTAAACACTCTTTCTCAATCTTGTGTATAGGGTTAGGGTCAAACAATGCAGCTTTATGGTTTTCCACATTTTAGCAGCACTGGAAAGTGTCCTAAAAACACTGTGACATACTATAAAAGGCATCTTTTCCATGGTTAAAGGGGGTTTTGTCCTAACCATCTGCAACGATGACGAACAAAATTTCTATTGACTCTATTCTTCCTATTTCTCCGAAGCGCAACATAACAAACAGCATATGATACTATGACAAAGATCACCTCAGGGACAGACTATGCTCTTTATTCAGTGTAAAAGGCCACCAAACTGCTTTTCAAATACAATTTTTATGTGACATTTATTTCCATACTACTGATAGCAGCAGCAGATATTGAAATCAAAACAACCTCAAAGTTAAAAGAGTTTAATAGGTGTTAATTTTATCGAGAGTGCAGTCGGTGATGTTGAAATGCTTCTGTTTTGGTGCAGTCAATTTGCTTGTTGCTGAAATCTTGTTGCATCACATGTTGTTAAGACACAGTGTCAGCCTGGGATTTTAAGCTTTCCAGTGTACACGAATGCAGCAGTTCTAATGGGTTTTTTTTAGTATAATGAATATTCTATATCTACAGTTTGTTGTTTGTCAGATATATTGGGCAAATCCCCAAATTAGGTAGATTCCAAACTAAGCACTGCTGTGTTTGCACTCAGAAATAAAGGTACATGAGCTGTCACTGGGGCAGTATCTTTTAGAAAGGTATGTGTACCAAACAGATTCACATTTGTAACTTAAAGGTACACATCAGTGCCTATGTACAGCTCATGGTACAATAAAGTACAAATGTGTATCTTTAAAGGTACCTTTTCAAAAAGGTACTTCCCTAGGCAGTGACAATGTATGGACATTAGTTTGTGAGAGCTTTTTACTTAATTATAGGTAAAATATGGACAAACATTTGAAAAAAATGCTCTATTAAATGTATAGCCTAATGTTCGGTTTGCACATATTTAACCAGATTTGGGTTGAAGCATAGCATTTTTACAGTGGATTCTATAACAACTGTTTTTATACTAGGAAAAAAGGGAATATTTAATTCACAGATTGTTTACATGGTCTAAAAATGTTGGGCTAACTGCAAGTTTCTTTCATTTGACCCAGCATTTTTAGTGTAAAATGTGGACTTCTTAAGTAAAATAACAAAAAACAACAACAACAACAACAACAAAAAAAACCTCAGTCAATGACCTCATGGTCAATCATTTCCAATTCAAACTGCAGCTGTTTAACTCATCTGGGGAATATCCTGTTTTTTTATATTGTTTTCCTGATCGCAGTATATCAGATTTTATACAATTTCACATCAGAAAAGGGGAAGTATGGAAATGCAGTTTAAAAAAGAAAGTAGTGATTTCTAAATTTACTGTGACTTGTATTTCATTGCAGACAATACAAGCATTATTTAACGCGTTCCTCATGATTTTTATTGTTTTGTTTTTCAAAATAAACATGTATTTCAACTTTGATTCTTTGGCAACACATTTTTTTAAAGGTGGAACTGTAAAGCGTTTACCACTTTGTAATGTTGTCATTCCTTTTGACAACACTTAAAAGACGTTTAAGACTGAAGACACCGTGATGAAGTGTTTCATGTGTTGTAGAGGCAAATATTTTGGTCTTTGCTTCTGACGCGTTTGTTGCTTGAACGGGTCAATAAAAAAAGTGAAATGTTGATACCTTTACAAATAAAGTTGGATATTCCAATCCATTTAGTGTCCATTTTGTCAAAATTAAAATTAAAATCTCCTCGTCGTGAGGAGAGCAAAAATACCTTATACACCCTCTAGTGGTGTAATAGAAAATTGCAACACATAAATGGCTCCAACAGGTGTAATTCTGTACCATTCTTCTTGCAAACAAGTCTTGAGATGGGCAACAGTATAGAGTCTTCATTGTTGCATTTTGCTCTTCAAAATGCGCCACACATCCTCTATAGAGATAGTTTGGAACTGCAAGCAGGCCAGTCAACCAAAATCCTCTTCCTTTGCAGCCAGGAGTTTGTAATGTGTGTAGGATGTGGTTTTGCATTGTTTTGCTGAAATGTGCTTTAGTGTCTCTGGAAAAGAAGGCAGCATATTGTGACTCAAAATCTTTATGTACTGTTCAGCATTATTAGTGCCATCACAGAAGTGCAAGTTACTTTTGCCAAGGACACTGGCACAACCCAAAACCATGACAGACTCTGGCCTCCTGGGCTTGTTGCTGGTAACAGTCTAAAAGATCCTTATCTTCTGTGGTCCGGAGCAAACAATGTCCACTTCTGCCCAAAAATACCTGAAATATTGATTCATCTGACCAGATGCCTTTAAGCCCAGAGAAGACGATGGCGCTTCTGGACACTGTTTACATAGGGATTTCTTTTTGCACAGTTTTAACTGCCATTTGTGGATGTAACTATTTATTAACAAAGGTTTGCCAAAGTAGTCCTGAGCAAATGTTGTGATATCGCCCATATGAACAGGGATTCTTGATGCAGTGCCATCTGAGGGATTGCTAATCACTGTTGTTCAGCTTAGGCTTGCGCCCTTGTTCTTTACACACTAAAATTCCTCCAGATTCTTTGAATCTTATAATGATGTAATGTACTGTTGAAGATTAAATATCCAAGCGTCTTCCCCTCTTTCTTGAGGAGCATTGTTTTTAAACATTTCAATAATTTACTTGCATAATTGTTGGCAAACTGGCAATCTTAGACCCATCTTTGCTCCTAAAGGACTAGACCTTTCTTGGATGCTAATTGCACCAAGTCAAAATTACAATCACCCATTAACATCGCCAGTTTCACATCACATCATTATTTAACCAATTTACTTGATTACTAGCCCTAAACTACTCCTGTAACAACTTTTTGGGAATGTGTTTCAGGTCTGACTGACAGGAAATAATATATATTTAAAAATTTAATCAAGTTGACCAGAAAAAATATGAAATATTTTGTGTTCATATTAAAATACAAGTCAAAGTAAAAAAAAAAAAAAAAAAAAGTGTTTTTCCATACTGTCCCATCTTTTTCTGATTTGGGGTTGTATGTAGTACAGTCACTTCTGACTCATTTAGTGTTCTGATACATCAGAGAAGCTGAAAAACAAAGCAAACAATATGCAGAAACTGGAGGTTTTTCCTATAGATCAGTGGATATTTTAGGTTCTCGACAAACAAAAGAACTAGAACACTGTAAAACCCCATTGTACTCATTGGGAAAGTTCAAAAACTAATCCCAATGAGTACTGCGGAATTAAAGAAATGTATTAATTGTGTAAATTGAGCACTTACATTGTCTTGTGAATTTGTGAACATCTCTGTGATGGGTTATTCAGGGCAATACTACTAATAAAGGAAATTAGCATTGATTTTTTAAATTAAATAATTATTGTTTAACATGTTTGGAAAGGGGTTTGTAAATTGTGTTGTATACGTTCCTAATTATGATCATCCGTTCATCACTCACGAATTTTGTCCCATGTAAATCAGTGATGATCTTCTGCTCTTTTTTTTCTGTGTTTTTATTTCTTTACCTGTAATCTGTGTGATCTGGAGAAAAGGATATTCACAGCTTGTTAATGTTGTATAATTCAGTTTGGCTCATGAGTAACTTCATTTTTTCCAGATGTTTTTGGTGTTTGTATGGATGGACGGTCCATGTCAGTGCCGGAGGGAGAATCACTCTATCTAGACACCAATGTTAAAGTAAACCAACAGCAAAGGATCAGATGGAGTTTCAGCGATGTCGACATTGCTGAAATCACTGGAGACCTCAGTTTTAACTGTACAGGTGTTCAGTGCAAAGATGGTGATGGTAAATTCAGAAACAGACTGATACTGGACAGTCAGACCGGATCACTGACCATCAAAGACAGCAGAATCACGGACACGGGAGTTTATAAACTGCAGATCAACGAGAGCAGACAAACTGAAAAAATCTTCATTGTTACTGTAATTGGTGAGTCATTATTTAAATTATCCTATGTGGCTGTTGAATGCTTGATTCGAACATTCTAAGGTGTGCATTTACTTTCAGATAAACGGGCCGCTGAAGTAGTTCCGGCAGGTTTTGAGCGCATTAGAGTTCCATTTCACTACGCTGAATGATTTCACTTATTTCACAGTCAAAAATCACATCAAAACACAACAGAAGCCCACATTAACAGCAGCCCACATTAGCTTAAAGTATTTGAAATACAGAATCTCGGTAAATCGTGCGTTTAAAACTCAATTCCTGGAGGGCCAGTTGATCTAACTAATCATAACTAATCAATATGTTCTAGACTCTTATGAACACCTCCATTAGTTAGATCAGCTGTTTGATAAGGATCGGAGCAAAATTGTGCAAAGCCGCGGCACTTCAGGAATTTAGTTTGAAACCCATGCTGTAAATGATAAGTGAGTTTTTCATTATATTAATTTTTCATTATATTATTATCTGCTTGTCAAGTCGTGATGGTGACTTATAGAATATGGTTTCTGGATCCAACTAGCTACTCATTTGAATTGAAAAAATATTCGTTTATGGCCGCTTTTTAGTCAAATCACACATTAACGTGAATTTTATATAAAATCATGCTGTACACATCAGTCTCTGGACTTCACAAATACCAAAAATTTAACAACGTATAAAAATTGTATCACTTTCTGGCCATCAGATTTTTGATGTGTGTGTGTGTGTATAAATATATATGTGTGTGTGTGTGTGTGTGTGTGTGTATATATATATCAAGGGCGTATGTTTGCGCTTGACATTGGTGGGGACGAGTCATCCCCGCCAAGAATGAATATTGTTTATATATATATATATATATATATATATATATATATATATATATATATATATATTGATATTTATTATTTAACTGCTATTAAAATGTATTATTAAGTAATCCTATTTTCTTACAATTTATTAAGTTAAATTAAATAGTCATGCACGTAGCCAAGGGGGGTCAGGTGGTTTGAAAGACCAAAAGTTGGATTATTATTATTATGTTTGAATTTATTTTATTATTCAAATGGCTAAATTCTCACTGAGGAAGGAAAATGCGCTGGCCAGTTTGTTTTTTGCCTAGGCTTCAGTTTTTAATTTAAATCAAGTTAACAGATGTCCCAAAGAAAATTATAACTATAAAATTGTATTTTAAAAATAAGTATATTTTCATATTTGAAGAGCTTAGATGCAAAATCCTCTAAATGCCATTTAATATAATCTTCTAAAATTAGCATTTTTCCAACTCCTGTGTGTGGACTCAGTGATTTACCTTTTATAGTGACAAATACGTTATTTTTATTGCCTTTAAAGTGAAATAACTGAACATAAATATACAAGGCTGAGAAAAATGCAAATTTTTTTTCATGGCATTTAGAGGTTTTGGCATCTGAACTCTTGATTTCTTTATTTTAAGAATTTAAAGTCCTAATCTCTAGTTCAAAGTATTTTTATTATTCATAAAACTTTAATAAAACTTACAGTTTAAATGTGTAAATAAAGCAATTTGACAAAATGGTTGGAAATAGTTTTGGTACATCAAAAAGTGTAGTTATAATAACTATCAAACAAGATTACCCAGCAAAAATTAGCTCCTTATATGTCACTAAAATGTATTATTTATACCTCAGGTGAATAACTGCAAAAAGGTTGTTTTTTTTAGAAAACAAATAACCCCTTTCAATAAGCTGGCTACAGGTCTGAAAGTGTCATGTTAAAATAATGTTTATTAACTGATAAAGAGAGAGTTTAATAAAGACTTTCGTTCATTTTTCATACAAATTAAACATGTCTCACAGTATTATTAAAAGATGGAGCACAGGCTGTAGTTTTTCTGACTAATTGTTTTACCTGAACTTGGAGCTGTTACTCTAAGAGATTAGGAGAACTGGCAGGGTCGTATACGTTTACATGTAGGTGTTTATTCTGCAGTTAGTTTTTAGGGAATATTGTTTACAGACTATATCAGTCTTCTTTAACGTTAGACTGATGTTAAAAACGTAGAAAACACCAGCGTAACGGCATTATCATCATGGACTCATTCAGTAGCGAACTTGAGATTATGTGACTTACACTTTTCGTTGAAAAAAGCTCTTTATGTCCACCTTTTTTTGCTACCTCCATCCTAACTTGTGTGTGTCTGTCATACACATCACACACATCGGGCAGTTATATATATATATATATATATATATATATATATATATATACATACATACACACATATTTTGTCTTAACACTTTTAAAGGAAAAATTACTACTGAAACACTTCTTCCGTCCCTAAATGTATTTTTAGTGTTGTGAAAAGAAATGTCAACATTACAACTTTTGGAAATGTGTTGCAGGAACCAAAATTTAAATATGCGTTCATTTAAAAAATACATAAATAAAACAACAATCACGAGGAACTCCTTTAATATAGTTTTTTTTGTCTAGTTTTTTATTATTTGCATTTTTCATACTGTCCCAACTTTTTTTTGATTTGAGGTTTTAATTGTAACTTGTAAACAGGAAATTGTATGACATAGTGGAATCATTCATTTTATCAGTAGTACAGTAAGTAATATTTTTATAAAGTGTATGGTGCTCATTCATTTAAGATCGTTATGTTTGTCTGATAAGTGATTATCAATGTTTTTCGCTGTTGGCTTGATTGTCATTCCAGATATTTATCTCTTTAGTCTTCATGATGTGTAGACTGCACTTTCCTTTTTTTTTTTTTTTATTGGCTTCTAATCGACTGTTTACTTTTACAGGTTTTTTTCACTTTGGCTCTCATGGAGAACCTGTGTTTGTAGTGAAGGGAGATTCAGTCACTCTACACTCTGGTGTTGAAACAAACCAACAAGAAAAGATCAGGTGGTATTTTAACAACACCCGCATCGCTCAAATCACTGGAGATTTCACTGAAATCTGCACTGATGTTCAGTGTAATGAAGGCAATGAGAGATTCAGAAACCGACTGAAGCTGGATCACCAGACTGGAAATCTGACCATCATGAACATCACAAACACAGACTCTGGAGTTTTTCGTCTTCGGATCATCAGCAATGACAGCATCAGTGAAAAGATCTTCATCGTTGCTGTATTTGGTAAGTCATATGTTTAAACTGTACAAAAGCATTTGGTGATATTTTTGTGTTACGTTCAGAGTTGTGTTAGCATATACAGTATTTAGAAAAAAATCACTAAAAACATTTAGCTAATTTCCTTTTGTCACCGTTTTTCTGCACCATCCGAGCATGCACACATAAAACTATTATCCGGGACCAACTTAAGATTTCAAATCATTTTAATACATTGCGGACGAGCCCCCAATTATATGTTACTTACTTTTAGATGCTAATATTAAACTAAGGGTATTTTGACATAACATAAAATAGTTTAGTGTGGGCGACTCAGTGGCGGAGTGGGTAGCACGTTCGCCTAACAGCAAGAAGGTCGCTGGTTCGAACCTCGTCTCGGTTGGCATTTCTGTGAGGAGTAAGCTAAAATGGCTAAATTGTCCGTAGCGTATGAGTGTGACAGGCCCATACGACAGGCCGGCCGGAAGGTGTAAAAAAAAAAAAGTTGTTATCATATGGAACTTGTTCCAAAAAAGAGCCGACTCCGCAATCATACGGGACGAAGGCAAAAGAAGAAGATGATAAAATAGTTTAGTGTGTGTGTGACCAATGGATGGAGATGAATAACTAAAAACCAAATATCATTGCATTTGATTATTTATTGCCCATACTTCCAGTGAAAAATAAAGTCTCAGCAGGCGAGAGATAACCAGCTTAATCCAGCTAAAAACAGCTTGACCAGCCTGGATTAAGCTGGACATAGCTGGTTTTAACCGGGCTCCCACCCTGGCTAGGTTGGTCAAGCTGGTTTTAGCTGGTCATCCTCCAGCCTGACCAGCTAAGACCAGGCTGGAAATGGCTGGAAACCAGCCTGGAAATGGCCAAAACCCCTCTAAAACCAGCCAGGTCTACCAGCTAAAACCAGCCAAAGCTGGTTTAAGATGGATTTTTTAGTAGGGATTAAATTATTTCATAACTGTAACAAGAGGCAATTCTTGTTACAATATTGTTTACATACCTCAAAATAGTCTATAAGACTCCGAGTGATTGAGTTTTTAATGCCTAATTAAAAAGAGCAATAGATAAAATCACGTTTATAATTTATATAAAGCATGAATAATTCATTTTACCATTAAAATGCCATGTATAAACATTATATTGACTCTTTCATATAGTTATGTATAATTAAAGGCATGCATGGGTCATGAAATTGAGCATTTATCTTTTATACCAAGGATGTCCATACTTGGTCCTGAAGGGTCGGTGTCCTGAGAGTTTAGCTCCAACCCTAATCAAACACACTTGTACCAGCTAATCAAGCTCTTATACTAGAAACCTCCTGGCAGTGTGTAGAAGCAAGTTGAAGCTTCCAGGACTGAGTTTGGACCCCTGTTTTATACTGTTTAGTATGCTTGCATAAGCATATCTCTACTGTGAGCCTCCTGGCTACAATAAGCTAACACAGCTCTGATTAGCCACACAGCAAGGTATCACAATAATAGCTTTTAATCAGGCATTCACCACAGACAATCCCTTGGGGGTGTTAAGTGGACTGGATTGCAGGGGGATTCAGTTTTTCACCACAGCCTTTTAAATGCTATGCTGCCCAGCGATTGGTGGTGCGATCCCAGCATCAGCGGCCAACGTCATCAGCACGAAATGCAGATCTTCCAATGCCATTCGCCACTGTAACCAACGCGTAAAACGCACATACAAACAGATACACACACACATAACCTCAAAGTACGTTCTGCAGGGGAATATAACACTGTTAAAGTACAACTTATTAGGTTTATATGTAAGGAATTATTGGTGGCCGGTTTAAAATTGTAAGAAAATAATGCACACCTGAAGTGGTGGCACACCACAATATGTGTAATATGCAGACGTCTTCATGATTTTCTAATAATAAAGTGCAGTGAAGTCCATTATTCCACTTATTGTATATGGTTTCTACACCTAAAGATAGTGTTGTTCAGATATTGTATTTAAGACATTTGTTGGGTTTTTGTCCTCAGACTGCTTCTGTGTGTATCACTAGTTTCTAACACATCTTATTCAAAGGCTTCAGTTGTGTTTTGATGTGTTTTCTAACTGTTGTAGCTGTGAAATAACCGAAATCATTCAGCATAGTAATATGGAGCTGTAATGTGTGCAAAACCTGCCGGATCTTCTTTAGATGTGCATTTATCTTAAAATAACGGCTCACTTTAGAACAGTGGTGTCAAACTCAGTTCCTGGAAGGCCACAGCTCTGCATAGTTTTGCTCCAACCACCTCCAGATCACACCTGCTTAAAAGTCTTTAGTAGTCTTGAACAGCTTGATTGATTGGATTGGATTGATTAGGGTTGAAGCAAAACTGTGCAGAGCCGCGGCTCTCCAGGAATCGAGTTTGAGCCCTATGCCTTTGAATGTTCATTGGCCATCAGAAACAAGCATTTTACTGTGGTTACACTGATTGAATGTTGTTTCATATTTTAGACATTCCTGGTGTGGAAATGAGAAGGAAATCAGTAAGGAAGGGAGAATCTGTCACTTTTGAGACTTGTTTAGTAAACAGTCAAAGCTATGTGATGACGCTGTATTTTAATAACACTCGCATCACTGAAAGGACTCCCAATAAGACCTGTTCAGATGGCCAGTGTAAAGATAATGATGATGAGAGATTCAGAGGCCGACTGAAGCTGGATCATCAGACTGGATCTCTGGCCATTATGAACACCACAAACACAGACTCTGGAGATTATAAACTACTGTTCAACAGCAGCTTATTCAGCATCATGAAGATGTTCAGTGTTAAAGTCACTGGTGAGTTTCATTGAGTCCTTTAATCCCTGCAAGCACCTTCCTTTGCAGATTTAGAAAACAGTTTAAAATGAAACCAAATTTGAGTGTTTTCATTGTGAACTTGCACAAACTTTTGGTTTAAAGTGTGCAGTTTTCAAATCTAGAACAATATTTGGTTGTTGGGAACATTGTTGTTCATGATAAATTTACCATGACATTATTAATGAAATAAATCAGAGTGAGACGTGATGAACAAAGCTGACAGCTGTGTGTATATTAGTTGAAAGTATTGATAAAGGTTGATGATAATTTATATTTCATTAATATTTTTTTTAATTATGTTTGTCTTCAGCTGTTCCAGATTCAAATGGGCGCTCTAATAGAATAGTTGGTGTTTTTTTGGCTGTTGCTCTGCTGATGGTTGCAGTTGGGATTTTGGTTGTCTTGAGAAATCGTCACATCAATCGTGCACATGAACATTATGGCAAGCATTACATAACTCTAATTTTACAAGATGGGGATATAAGCTTTAAAACCAGATTTACTTTTTAAGTTTTATATATATAAACACACATACAGTTGTATTCAGTATTATTAGCCCCCCTTTGAATTTTATTTTCTTTTTTAAATATTTCCCAAATTATGTTTAACAGAGCAAGGATATTTTCACAGTATGTCTGATAATGTTTTTTCATCTGGAGAAAGTCTTTTTTTGTTTTATTTCGGCTAGAATAAAAGCAGTTTTTAATTTTTATTATTTTTTATTTGAATAAGTTTTTAATCAAGATTATTATTACTACTATTAGATAAAATAAATCAGTTATTAGAAATGAGTTATTAAAACTTATGTTAGAAATGTGTTGAAAAAATGTCTCTGTTCAACAAAAATTGGGGGAAAAAATAAACAGGGGGACTAATAATTCAAGGCTAATAATTATATATATATATATATATATATATATATATATATACACACACGTATGTATGTGTGTGTGTGTGTTTGTGTGTGTGTGTGTGTGTGTG